GTTTTTGAAAGAAAGAAAAAATCCCTGAATGCATTTGGAAGAAATTTTCCCTTGATTATCTGGTGGGACTAGATTTTCCAGGTTTAGATAAGCTCTTCTCCTTTGTGTTGTAGGAACCTATCTCTGTTCCTTCCATGTAATTTCTCTCTCTGGAACCAAATCTCCTTTTCAATAAGTAATGCCAAGGAACACATCTACTTGGTTAATTGAGGTACATCTCTATTTTCCAGAAAATGTACAGAAAATTGAGTTCTCAAAATAGCTGGTATATTAATCTGTTGTCTTTTTCTGACAAAGTCTCAAACGATGATAGTTTATCTTGAGATCTATCACACTTGTTAACATAGGGGGATTCTGAATTCATGTTTGCTATTTTTTAGAAATAATCAGAGAACAGTATCACAAAATGTCTTAGTGTAACAAACTGCAACATTGCTTTCCAAAAGGAATACATTCAGTGGAAGAAGAAAGGAAAAGGGTAAGCCAAGCGTTAAATGGAGAGAAGGTTTCTATGACACACCAAGTGTAGGATACCTTCATGAAAAAGCTTTCATCTTCACAACAGTTCACATTTCAGCCTGGGTCCAGTTCTTTGAAATGAGGTACTGATATTTTATTTTATGTTATGAGTTTTTAAATGGACCACAACCCTCTGGGGATGAGTCCAGACTCCTCTTTGCGCCTCTTATTAAGAATTCAGAGCAGAGTATATGTCACTCTTACCAAATGTCATGACAGGTAGAATAACTAGACATATATCTCTGTATGTCTGAAGATGAATGAGCACTTTAACAGAAGAAATACAGGATCTAGAATGTCAAATGTATTACGGAAAGTGAAATCTTCTAGATTTCAATCACATTACAAAATCTCTTAAAGTTTTGCAATGCAATCCTATACCTGCTTTGTACTCCCACTGAGCTCAAAAGGACTTACTCCGAGGTAAGCAAGTATAAGCTTGAACTAAAATCAACACTGCAGTATCAGTTCTTTGCTATAGCCCTTGCCACTACTCAAGAGAAATCTCAAAGGCTTGGCAGACAGATCAAACCATATTATGACTGCTGCTATTAACAACAGATCTAATAAACATGCAATTGCTCTCACAGTCCTGTTGCAACAAGTCTAATGCACAAAAGACAAAGGCTATTACATGTTGTCAATGAAACGGGTGCTCATAAAATAGGGACTTACAGATCTAAAATGCCTAGAACATAAGGTAGTAACACCAAACACTGTTACAGACCACAAGAGGAGTAAAAAAACCCCCCAAAAATAAACATATGAATAAAAAATATTCCAGTTCCCATCTCTTTGGGGCTATACTACGACTACCTCCTGAGGAACAGAGGTAGTCGGAACACATATGTTGCTATCACATGCAATAACAGAGTTCGAATTTTTGCTTGGCTGTAGAAACCCACTGGGTGACCTTGGGCAAGTCACACTCACTGAGCCTCTAATGAAGGCTAAGGCAAATCCCCTATGAATAAATCTTGCTAAGAAACCCCTATGACAGGTTTGCCTTTGGGTTGCCGTAAGTCAGAAATGACTTGAAGGTACACAACATTCCTTCAGAGGATACAGACAACAACAACACCATGTGAGATGAGATACATTTCAAAATAAAATAGTTTTAAAAGAACACAATGATACCCACATATTTGACTATCTGGAGTTTGTAGTGTTATTTGGACAGAACAACTTCAGTCTGAGCAATATAGTAACATATGTTTTAGCCTAACAATCCAGTCAAACAATTTAATAAAGATTTTTGTGTCGTCTGTGGTAATCCAAAAAGAGCCTGAGAGGGCCTGGGATTCTGGAGAATGATTGGATCAATACACATTCTATACCTTTGTCTCAAATTGAAAAGAAAAGGTTAAAAGTTTAGTAGGACAGCTGGGGTACAGAACTGAGTCATCTTGTAAAGAAATTATATCTGGAGGAGGAAAAAGACAAAGTAATCAATAGTAATTAAGTTCAGCCATCCCAACTGGCAGGAAACATCCAATTATGATTGTCTTGTTCTTAAGAATAGCAATTCTTCCATGGCTGGAAACGTCGCTGTCTTACAGAATGCTATCAGACACTGTTCTTGTTTCTGATCACCTGGTAATCACTTCACAACAAACAATAGCCTTGTCACCATTCTCAAGTGATTACATACATGAAAAAGAGGCTTTTTTCTCATAACCACACAACTAGTCCCTGAATGCCTCCAACAATAATTCCAGTGTTCCCTAATCTGTCTTGAGAAAACTCACACATTGTTATAATTAGCTACACCAGGCCTATAATTTCTTATTACAGAGCTATATCTGATTCTGTCCACTCTCAGAATACAGACAAAATCTCCCATGAATTGGACATGACATCTGCAAATACTTCTTTCACACTTGATCTCTCCTGTGTCACTTCCAAAGGATCATCCATCCTCAAAAACAGTTAGAAGTGCAGAATATTATAGATATGAGAATCAGCAAAAATCATCATTTACGGGAAGTGTCTGCTGAACTGAAGATCCTTACATGAATACAGAATGCGTGCAATAGAACATAGCCGATCACCAATCATTAGCAAAGTTCAAAAAGTAACCTTTTTGGCCAATCTCCAGTGGACAAACTGGCCTGTTATTCTGGGTAATCCAAAAAGTATTTTTTCATGCTTTGATTATTAGGGCTGTTATTTGAAACATTAAATTAAATGGTGGTTGAACCTGCTGAGACTAAAAGAAAAGAACAAGAAAGCACTGCTGTATCTCAAATGTCAAAAACAGAGCTCTGGTCTCCATAATATGTGCTAAAGATGTGGAGACACCTTCACATCAAAAGAAAACTATCTCACCAGCACTGATAGGCAAGGAGCTTGCTTCAGAAACTGAGATGTTCATGGAAGCATTATCCATTTATGCTCAGCTCTGATTTATTTATTTCAAAATATTAAAAGAAGAAAGTTCAAAATTAAAGAAATTGATTTACAACTGCAAACTTTGCCTGATGATGCCAACTGATATTTATACCATTGCCATAAAGGGATAGATAGATAATAAATGAAAATGAAAATATGCAATAATAAAAACAATGGTATCCTTACTTTTAAAACTTCTTTATTAGTTGCTTCAGTCTAGCTAGCAAGCCGACCAAGACTACCCTTGATCAATTCATACTTTTATGATGAATTGTAACTTATTGACAACAACCCCAAGCCACTAATCTTAGGCATTTTGAAATAGTTCCTAATAGCAATTTGGAACGCAATCTATCAGGCATTATTATGGTCCAGCTTCAAATCTCAGTGCTCTAGCTGCCTGGTTAACACAAGATTCAGTGTTAATCACAATGTAATTGAAATACATTTGATGACAAATGAAAATTACCACAAACCAGAGGAGGAAAATGAAACTCAGAGCAAGCTGCAAACAATTTGCACACTACAGATCCCCTGCAGTCCTTCTGCCAAGTCAGTCTCTGTTAATGTTGGCCATCTCCATTCCAAGGGATTTCCAAGAGAAAGATTGGCAGCTACATATCTGTCTGGCACATAGGGAGAGAAATAGCACGGCTGTGGCAAAAGCTCTTTCAGAAGCTACTGAATTATTTCCCAGAAAGGATCTTCTTCCAAACTCTATGCACTCTGCCAAAAAGACCTCACTTTTCCTTGGAAAAGGAAACTTTCTGAAAGTAGAAAACATAAAGAAAGCATCCCCATCCTTACTGCTCCAGACAGAACCTACATTGTCACAGGGAGCCAATATAAATTTAGACTATCTGTACATCTAGCCACAATATTGACAGAGGTAGGCACTCAGCAGGTAACAAGGCTAACATATGTTTCTAGGATGTGTCTCTTTTTTCAAAGCTAAATTCACATCCTCTGATTTCCCAGACACAACCTCTTTTTCAGAGCTTAACTATCTCTCAAGATGCCCTTTTCAAATGTCTGGCCTTTCTTCTAACTCCAGACTGGAGGAAGCAGGCAATCAGACAGTAGATCTCTCAGGAGGAGAAGGTGGATGTAGAAGGTTAAAGCAGGATGAGGGAAGACCCCAAAGCAGCCAGGCTTAGCCTCATGGAGGTTGCCCAGCGATTCATCAGGTCCCAGGTAGGTCAGGGCCATGGTTGCCTAACCATTCTCCTTCTTGAGGGGAAAGCTTGCCAAGGTGGAAGACTGTAGAGAGGAGAAAGGCATCCTGCCATCATTGCTGGGATAGTGCCTGGTCACAAGGAAGTTTTGTCTTGGACTCATCAACTGTCCTCTTACAACTGCCTGAAGCTTGTAGGATATTTACAGTGTGAGTCATCATAGCGATTAATGGTTTGAAGTAGTCAGTCAGTAAATATGTTCTCTTTTTTATTTTCAAAATAAGGCAACTCTAGCAAGTATCTCAGATTTAAAAAGAAATACATTAATTCCCATCTATGCTCTCAGTTCCTTTCATAATGTGAGGGTGATTCCCATACCACCGTGCTGTGACCTGCCCTTTACCCTCCTCCTCCTATTTCCACTGTTTCAGCAAATGTCTCCCATCTGTATTCGGCTACATATCTGTATGCATCAAAATCTATGTAGATGAATGCCTTTGTAAAATGCTTAACAAATATGAAAATATCCAATCTGGACATAATGCTCCCTGACCCAGAAACCTCACAAATCCCATTGCATTGCAAAAATGTTTGAATTTTGTTATTTCATTATACAGTCAACCCTTCACATTTGCAGATATGATTTAAATTATTCTGTCTGGGAATCTCCAGGTACCCCCATGTGAACCTCCAACGAAAGATACAACCATGACAGAGGATCTACAGTTTCTTATAGAAATGTTCTCTTGGGTAAAAAAAAAAAGGGGGGGGTATATGTATTTTTCCACTTTCACAGAGATCCTGTGCCCCTAACTCCAGTGAATGTAGAGAGCCAACTATATAGCACAGTAGAAAATGTAAGCTGAGTTACATCTCTGTTGTACTTTCGCTGAAATCTGCAAAATAGAATGTTACCTTGCAGATGTGAAAGTCTGTACAAGTTCATCTAATATTCTGTTATTTTTCAGGTCAGGTCCTGTAGCTGCCTAGAAAAAAAGAAAGAAAATGTTTAAAAATATTATTCAACTTGGTCATTTGAGGCTTTCTGCTGAGAAAGTGCTAAATTTGAAAGGAAAATACAGTGATGCCTCTACTTAAGAGCATCCCAAGTTTAAAGCATTTGAGTTAAGAGCTGTCGCTCAGCCTGGGTTTGCTTTGACATGAGAGCAGCATTTTCAGTTAAGAGCTAGCAGCAGAAGGAATGCTAGTGTGAGGGTAGAAGGCTTCAGGGCCTCTGTGCCTCGTGCCTTTGTTCACTTTTAGAGAACTTTGGGTTAGTTGACTTTGTGTGGTTTTGATTCCTGGTATGTTTGGCTTCATGAAGGTAGAGAGAGGGGGGAAAAGAAGGAGGTTGGAATGAGTACAGTATGAAGAAAATATTGCTTCTGCCTCTTCACTTTATGCTTCCTTGCCACAACTTTGTGCTTCTATTGTTTTAACATTATTTTATTGTTCCATATGAATATGCATTCATACACTATTTGTTATTTCTAAAGTACATTTGCTTATTTGAAAACACATAACAAATAAAATTGAGGGGGGAGGGATTCAGGAGACCGGAATGAATTAATAGCATTTCAATACATTTCAACTGAAATTTTCACTTTGAAATAAGAGCATTTTGAGTTAAAAGCTCAGTCATAGAACTAATTAAACTCTTAAGTCAAGGCATAACTGTATATCAAGTACACACCATCCTTCCTTTAAAAATCTCTAAGCAGTGCAAAAGTCATCAAAATGGTCTGTGGAAAAGTGCAGGTCTCCAAGCCATCATCTGCTGGTTTATGGCAAGTCAGCAGAAAAGGAAGAAACAGCTTTAGCCAATGGGAACTCATAGATTATCAATCCCAGGCATATTAGAAAGAAAGAAAAAACCTAGTCTGCAACATCAGATAGCCTGATAAACAATGACCTAATGCAATGACTGAAAATTTGAGAAGTGATGCATGAGTCACATTTGTTTTATAAACTTAACAAAAGGCAATTATGTATTTACAAGCAAACTAACAATTTTTTTCATCTCAAGCAATTGACTATATTTTATCACTGTTGAAACAATACTCTTAAAGAAAAAAGCACATACTGAAGTTTGGTGATAACGTCAAGTCAAAAGAGAAAATGGGAGGCATGGGAAGCAGGCCTTTGGAACTTCAATTATGGAACAAAAAGATACAGACTCCAGAAAGGTTTCCTGCATACAAATCCTTCTTTTATAGATCTGTTATTTATTTCCTCTCTGTTTCTAGTTACCCTGTAGGGTGCCAGAACTATATTCTTTTGCAATTTTTTTTTTAAAAAAATCATTGTTTGATGCAGAAGATATAAAAGGGGGAGTAAAGTTATTTGCTCCACACATGTATACAAAGCAACTTTCAAAACAAGCAACAGGCTTCCAGGGCAACAGGGGGTACGGTCTAGACTTCCAACTTTTAACAGTTTGTAGCTTAAAAATCACACTTTCATAACCAAGAATAGAGCATATTGGGGCACTAGGGTAGTACTATTATTTCCTACAGTTTAGGCACCTCATTTGTAATTTTTGTAATTGCAGTTTAATAAACCTTTTCCATGTTTTGATGATAAAACTAATTAGGAAATGACATTTATAACCCAGGAACAAAAATCATGTTACATAGCATTATCAACAAGGCATTTAGGGCACATTTTGACTGATATCAAGACAACTTCAATTTATAGCCACCCTGTGAATGCTCTGTTGAGGACCCATTACTATGTCCTAAACAGACTTACTCAGGCCTCTGTACTGCAGTCTTCCTCTTTTTTGCTACTTTACCAAGCATTTCTATCTTTTCTAGCAATTCAAATGTTTGTATATGTCCAAAATACAACAAAGTTTAGTCATTTTGGCTTCAGATTTACTCTGGGAACTATTTATTTGTCTTTTTAGTAGTTTGTGGTATTTGTAGAAATCTTTCAAAGCATATTATTTTCTTGCTATCACCTATTTTTACCATCCAGTTTTCATGATCATATGCAGAATGTGAGAATATCATGGCATGGACCAGCCCAACTTCAGTATTGAATGACATATCTTTACACTTCTAAATCTATAGTTCCTTCACAGTTCCCCTTCAAAGCCCTAATCTGATTTCTTGAGGCTGCAGTCTACATTCTGATTAATGACTGCATCTTGAACTATTTTAGTATTTTATTTTGTAATTCTATCCTCATGTAAATTTGATAACAATGCTCCTGGGGCACTATGCAAATAATCAAGTATTTTCCTAATATAGTATAGTATCTTAAATGTAGGCATTTAAGATACGTAGTTTTGTTTTGAAGAAAGGGAATGGAGCTTTCTATGTACAGGAATAATAGCTTTGTGTGAGAGGCTTTGGGTGCATCTACACTGTAGAATTGATGCAGTTTGACACCACATTAACTGTCATGGCTCAGTCATATGGAATCCTGGGAGCTGTAGTTTGGTGGAGCATCAACACTCTTTGGCAGAGAAAGCTAAAGATCTTGTAAAACTACAGCTCCCTGGATTCCATAGCATTGAACCATGAGAGCTATAACCATGTCCAAATGCATTCATTCTACAGTGTAGATACACACTTAGCCTGGCTTTGTTTCTAGGCTTATCTAAGAAGTCGATTTCACATGGCAGGGAAAGAAGCATTTAAGAGACTATTCCCAAAACAAATTTTCTAAGCAAGATTTTGGTTGTGAGTATCTGTGTAAGTAAGTCCCTGTAGTAACCTATGGATGAGAGAGCTGGACCATAAGGAAGGCTGAGGAAAGAAAGATAGACGCTTTTGAACTCTGGTGTTGGAGGAAAATTCTGAGAGTACCTCAGACGACAAAAAGATCCAACCAGTCCATACTCCAGGAAATAATGCCAGACTTCTCACTGGAGGGAAGAATATTAGAGGCAAAGATGAAGTACTTTGGCCACATTATGAGAAGACAGGAAAGCTTGGAGAAGATAATGATGCTGGGGAAAATGGACGGGAAAAGGAAGAGGGGAAGAGCAAGAGCAAGATGGATGGATGGTATCCTTGAAGTAACTGGCTTGACCTTGAAGGAGCTGGGGGTGGCTACGGCAGACAGGGAACTCTGGCATGGACTGATCACAAAGAGTCGGAAGTGACTGACTGAATGAATAAACAACAAACAAGCTGGAGTGAAGAACTGAGCAAAGAAGGAATGATGTATAGCTCAATCCTCTCCCTTCTCATCAACCTGAGGAAAAGGAAAAGGTTAAATCCCCCTCCCCAATTTCTTCTTCGCGCCCCCCCCCCTTTCTAAGCTGCTTTTCTTTCTTGTATAGATTTGTGAGTGTATTTTATATAGTTTTCCCCATGAGGATATCTAGAGAGGCATTTCACAAATTGTCAGAAATGGATACACAAGTCCACAGAGGCTTGAAACCACCAGTGAAGGGGGGCTGCCAGCTGCAGCAATGAGCAAAAGAAACTAATCTGCCAAAGAAGCCTGACATGGTGTTGCATAAGGGAATGCCAGACATGTAAAGCTCTAGAGACAAAGAAGAGAGGGAGTTTTCAAAATGATGCACATAGTGTACTAGATTTACTTTGGTATCTCCAAGGAGTGTTCATTGTAAACTTTACAGTATAAAACATTTGCACAAACAGAAATGCTGCGGAAGCAGATTAACAAACACTTACCATGCAGCATGTAGGACACTGAGCTTTATAGGACAGGGACTTGCGGATGCAGAGAGAGCAATCTGCAGAGAGAGAGAAACAAACACCATTAGGACAGTCAGCTATCTCACAATAGTACTGTTTTGGTACTTCATGTTTCATCTGGCAAAGCCTGGAATGTATATTTTGAAGTGATTCTTCTTTCCACCAAAACCTTGTTTACAAAACGATATTCACCTTTTTAAAGATTAAATAGCACTTCCTTAACAATTTATGTGACAATGTAGTAGGGAACCCTATAAGGCAGCCCTGCAAGTACCATGGACAATTTTCATAGGACATGACACACAAGTAATGGAGTGTAATTGCTTCCAGATAAAGTCATATATCACAAGATCAATACAGATTTTTTTTCTACCCCATACCTTGCTTTTCCCAGCGATGTGTCCAGGAACAAAAACATTTTAAGCAAGAAAAACATAAAAATGGAGTAGGAGTCTCAGATGAACACTATACCAGTTTCAAACATACACTTAGAATCTTTAGAAGCTGACTTCATTATACTAAATGCCACTGATTCAGATCCAGTTTTTACCAATAAAAGAAAGTTATAGGCTTTGCAACAAACTAAAACAAAACTACTAATGGCATTTATGTCTGTGAAATATTACCTCCTCAAATATAATACAAATATTTTCCTTTTGTTAGCAGAATGTTTACTGGTCTCCCTATTGAGAAGTGGATCTATAAGTTCCTTCAAGTCACCTGTCATCTTTTATTTATTTCATAAAGTATTCTTGGGCAAGGAATACTCAAAGGTGTTTTGCCACTTTATTCCTCTGAAATATAGCCACAGCACCTGGTATTTGTTGGCAGTCTCCCATCCAAATGCTAACTGGAGTTGGACCTGGCTTCCAAGGCCAGATGGGATAAGGTGCTGTCAGAAACCAAACATCCAATTCTGTCCTCAAGAAAGTCCTCTTGCTTACTTGCTTGCATATTTCTGTCTCTTAACAGATATAAGTAGTCAGGAGCTTTGCAGGCAACTGTAGCCAAGAGCTTTGCCGGCAGCTGTCAGAAAATATGAATTATATTCCTAACTAATGTATATACATATACATATATATAAGAAGTCCAAGAGGAGACATGATGGCCATGTATAAATATATGAGGGAAAATCATAGGGAGGACAGAGCAAGCTTGTTTTCTGTTGCCTTGGAGACTAGGACGCGGAACAGTGGCTTCAAATTACAGGAAAGGAGATTCCACCTGAACATGAGGAAGAACATCCTAACTGTGAGGGCTGTTCAGCAGTGGAATTCTCTGTCCCAGGGTGTGGTGGGGTCTCCTTCTTTGGAGGCTTTTAAACAGAGGCTGGGTGACCATCTGTCAGGGATGCTTTGCATGTGATTTTCCTGCTTCTTGGCAGGGGATTGGACTGGATGGCCCATGAAGTATCTTCCAACTCTATGATTCTATGATCATTTTTAAAGCAGGTGTACACTGAACTTCATAAAAATCTTCATACTCTGGCAGACTTTTAAAACAGATGTTAGAAAATTTTCCCAGAACCCTTACAATCCTAGGGTTCTGCTGAATATAGTTTGGGAACCACTGCTTTCAACATTCTCATCTGCAGCAGACACTGTAGTTGGGTACAGTCAAGGTGTGGCCTTCTGTGACCTGATGGAAAAATTCAAAGGAGACACACAGACAGAATAATAGAAAATAGAGTTGAAAGAGACCACACGGGGCATCTAGTCCAACCCCCTGCCATGTAGGAAAAGCACAATCAACGTAAAGATGGTCTTACAACACACACAGCTATGCCTTGTATCAAATCAGAAGGAGGCAAAGTGCAGAGAAAAAGCAAAGTGAATTCAGCACTTGAAATTCCTAAGTTTGGCCCTAAAGATACTCAGAATACCTCAAAGTCCTCAGATTGAAAATAAACATTAAGGTTATTTTTGGCCCCAAAATATGGCAAACTATAGTAGTTTGATGTATTGTCGAAGGCTTTCATGGCCGGAATCACTGGGTTGTTGTAGGGTTTTTTGGGCTATATGGCCATGGTCTAGAGGCATTCTCTCCTGATGTTTTGCCTGCATCTATGGCAAGATCCTCAGAAGTTGTGAGGTCACAACCTCTGAGGATGCTTGCCATAGATGCAGGCGAAACGTCAGGAGAAATGCCTCTAGAACATGGCCATATAGCCCGAAAAAACCCACAAGAACTGAGTGATTCCGGCCATGAAAGCCTTCGACAATACATTGAACATCTCTACGGGGAGAAACTGTTCCAAGCCCAGCTCCAGCAGACCTCACCTCTGAGGATGCTTGCCATAGATGCAGGCGAAACGTCAGGAGAATGCCTCTATACCATGGCCATATAGCCCGAAAAACCCTACAACAACCTATAGTACCGTATATTCCGGCATATAAGACGACTGGGCGTATAAGACGACCCCCAACTTTTCCAGTTAAAATATAGAGTTTGGGATATACTCGCCGTATAAGACCACCCCTCTTCCAATGCACACCAAATATTTTTTTAAAAAAATCAGATTTGACTTCAATATGGTAATTTTAATTCAAATGCTTATGACATGCAGGTTCCTATGAGAGGGGCATTGTACCTTACATTGGACATTATAGTTGCTCTTCCTCCCTTGAATTTCACTTACACTCTGGGTCCTTTACATCATGCTGGCAAGTATGAAAGCAGGCTTTAAATGGTTCAGATTACATTTATGTTGGCATAGAAGCTTGCATGCAAATAGAAGTCAGGCTTTGTACTATGAGTACTAAGGTGAAGGCAAAGCATTTGTAGAATTTTTATCTATAAGCAGTCTTTATAAATCAGGACCTCCTATCAGAAGAGAGGGGCAGATTGGACCCTCATCCTTCAGAAATGTAGCATTTGGCATGGCACATGTTTACTGGGTCACATCTTGACATGTCTTCATCCTTAAATCACCGTGACAGCTTGAATTGTTTTAGAGTTTCTCAAGAACACAGCCAGGTGATGTTTAATTGTTAGAAGGGGAAAAGAGATCAGAAAAGAGGAAGGGAGACCCTGGGTCAATAAGAGCTTTCCAGTTTGACTTCTGTCAAAAATGAAATGCAAAGATACAGGATGGGGGACGCATGGCTCGAGAGCGGTATGTGTGAAAAAGATCTTGGGGTCCTTGTGGACAACAAGTTAAACATGAGCCAACAATGTCATGCGGTGGCAAAAAAAAAAACAAAAACCAATAGGATTTTGGCCTGCATCAATAGGAGCATAGCGTCTAGATCCAGGGAAGTCATGCTCCCCATGCTCTATTCTGCCTTGGTTAGACCACACCTGGAATTACATTGTGTCCAATTCTGGGCACCACAACTGAAGGGAGATGTTGACAAGCTGGAATGTGTCCAGAGGAAGAGGGTGACTAAAATGATCAAGGGTCTGGAGAACAAGCCCTATGAGGAGTGGCTTAAAGAGCTGGGCATGTTTAGCCTGAAGAAGAGAAGGCTGAGAGGAGACATGATGAGAGCCATGTATAAATATGTGAGAGGAAGTCATAGGGGAGAGAGAGCAGATCAAGGGTCTGGAGAACAAGCCCTATGAGGAGCGGCTTAAAGAGCTGGGTATGTTTAGTCTGAAGAAGAGAAGGCTGAGAGGAGACATGATGAGAGCCATGTATAAATATGTGAGAGGAAGTCATAGGGAGGAAAGAGCAGATCAAGGGTCTGGAGAACAAGCCCTATGAGGAGTGGCTTAAAGAGCTGGGTATGTTTAGTCTGAAGAAGAGAAGGCTGAGAGGAGACATGATGAGAGCCATGTATAAATATGTGAGAAGAAGTCATAGGGAGGAGAGAGCAGATCAAGGGTCTGGAGAACAAGCCCTATGAGGAGTGGCTTAAAGAGCTGGGTATGTTTAGTCTGAAGAAGAGAAGGCTGAGAGGAGACATGAGAGCCATGTATAAATATGTGAGAGGAAGTCATAGGGAGGAGAGAGCAGATCAAGAGTCTGGAGAACAAGCCCTATGAGGAGTTGTTTAAAGAGCTGGGTATGTTTATTCTGAAGTAGAGAAGGCTGAGAGGAGACATGATGAGAGCCATGTATAAATATGTGAGAGGAAGTCATAGGGAGGGCGCAGGGAGGGAGGGGGCGAGGAAGAGGAGCGGCAGCCTTTGCTACCAATCTGGCAGCATGGTAGACTACTGGGCTGTCTTCACCCTCGCCGGCATTGAGTTGGCTCTGCCTCCGCCCTCCATCTCAGAACAGCTGCTGCAGGAGGGAGCCAAAGCCGAAGGGGCGGGGGCAGGGCCTCTGGCTGCTCCGCCCCGCCCCCGCAGAGGGCCCCGCCCCCAGGTCCCGCCCCCCGCGGAGGCTTCAACTCCTGCTGCTTTACCAGCCGGCGGGGGTGTTTGCATGCTGTACTATCCCCTCCGCCACTGGTCTGCTGATAGCTCTGCCTCTGGCCTCAAATTCAGAGCAATTGCAGAGGGAACCAAAACCGGAGCGGGGAGGCAGTGGGAGAAGAGGACCCCGCCCCTCACGGCCCCACCCCACGCAGCGGTTTTGGTTCCCTTGGCAATTGCTCTGAACTTGAGGCCAGAGGCAGAGCTAGCAGCAGACCAGTGGCGGAGGAGACAACACAGCATGCAAACACCCCCACCGGCCTGGTAAAGCAGCAGGAGTTGAAGCCTCCGTGGGGGGCGGGACCGGGGGCAGGGCCCTCCACGGGGGGTGGGGCCGGAGTAGCCAGAGGCCCCGCCCCCACCCCTCCGGCTTTGGCTCCTGCAGCACCTTTTCTGGGATTAGAGGGCGGAGGCGGAGCCAACTCAATGCCGGCGAGGATGACGACAGCCCAGTAGGCTACCATGCTGCCAGCTTGGTAGCGAAGCCTGCCGCTGCTCCTCCTCGCCCCCTCCCTCCCTCCGCCCTCCCTCCTCCTCAGGCTCCACCACGCGGGGACGCCAAGGGCGAGGGACACGAGGGAAAAATCATCCAACAAAATTTATGCCGGGGTACAAGACGACTCCCCACTTTTGAAATGATTTTCCTGGCTTAGAAAGTCGTCTTGTACCCCGGAATATACGGTAGTTTGTTTCCTTGACCCCCAATGTTCCCACTGCAAGACACAAAAACATTTTTAAAAGTCAAAAATGTGCCACAATTTCATCACAAAGTAATACCACATCACTTCAGACCTGCTAAAATGCACTAGTATGCCCTGCCAAGCTATGTCCATGTATAGTTGCCTACTCTTGTGTAAAATGATGACTTCTTTAAAAGACACTGACTTGACAATCCAAACAAGGATAATAAGAAATTATCAGTATCTTCATTTGTCCTAATATTTGTTATCTTCCCAAAGAGTTCACAATTTCAAGGATGAAAGTCATTAGTCCTTGATCCCATTACAGTATTGTGAGGCGTATTTGTTAATTCCATGTTCACTATAACACTGGGATTGATGCTAGTTCAAAAATCTGTGGCCAATCAATTTATACCACCCTTTAAGAAGAAAATTAACAAGCACAGGAGCCATTAATAAAGTTATCGTTCAAGAGCTAGGGTGATGATCAATTAGGCAGTCACACAATTAATGTTGCATTTTTTAAAATGCCATGTATGAAAATCCATATTAGAAAAAAGAGCTTTATACCTGTCTGAATACAAATCAGTTTAATTGGGCTGAAGTCCTGAAATCCTCCTGGGAACCAAAACATTTTAGAACGTGATGGGACTGATTTATGCCTTGTTCAATATTCATGTCCCAGGAGAGCTGGAACGCTTCCAGAGATAAACAGCGAGGCCAAACCAAAAGAACAGTCATCCGCTCTCTGCCTCATTTGTATTTGCAGGGACGCAGTAGTAGATCTCTGCCTGGCAAATGCCACCAACAAAATGAATTACAGCACTCTAAACTACTGAACTGCCAAATCAAAACAATCAAACATGCTGCCTAATCATTTAAGAATATGAACTAAATTTCACTCCAGAGGAAATAAATTGAGGCCCAAGATCTCAGGTTGCACAAGGCATGGCCAGAACTATAATCTTGCAGAAGCCATACTTTAACAGAACATCAGCAAATCCATATTTTAAACAAAACAGAGCCCACAAGGTCCTCTAAATCAGGGATTCTTAGACTTCTTCCACTCAGGATCCCTTTCTTCCCAAGAAATTTTTACACGACCCCTGGAATAGAGATATAAAAATTGGTATAAAAATTAAACATTTACTGGTAATAAATCAGCATTTACAAGTATTGCTAAATAGCCTGGTTTTCCTTTTTATGAAGTACACCTGAAGCATTTTCCTCAGAGTTCACTGAAAACAGTGCACATTGTTCCTAATGGTTCTGTGTAAATTGGTGGTGTTCAGAAACCTTTTACTGTTGTCAAATTTTCAGGATCCCCAGTATTGATCTACTGGGATCCCATTTAATTAAGGAGCAGTGCTCTAAATGACATGTTTACCAAAAAGCCATTCTTATTGTTCTATCTCAAAGAGAACACTTTAAGAGCAGAGTAGAAATTGGGCAGAAACACAATTAAAATTAATATGAATTATTATTTTCCCAAGAAAGAAATGCAAAATAGGCTATGATTTTTGAGTTCAGAAAAAAAAAAATCTAAGGACATACAAGACAGCTTTTCAAGACTGTGAAAGCAAAGGACAAAACCTTATTGAACACAGCGCTAACACAGTTAGTTAGTGGGTAGTGTAAATGAGACAAAATGAATACAGATGTTGAACAATCATCACAAACATGCAGTGAAAGAGTGCACAACAATCCTATGCATAATTTGGGAGCAAATCCTAATTCCAAATAAATCTACATAGCATTCATGTATAGGTGTGCTAAAACAGTTAAATCACAGAAATGCTAACAATTATTTCTGGGAATGTCAATGCATCTTATAGTAATATATTATCCAGTGTCTGGCTGTTATTAAAAGGACTATTTCCATGTTAAACCAAAAATAAAACATCTAGAATCATGCTGCCTTTATACAAATACACCTTTATGGAATATTATGTAAGATGTTAAAAAAATAGAGGAAAGGCTTTCTCTGTCATTCATAACTTCAGAAACCAGAGTCATCCACATACGTTGAATGAGTTTCAAGCATAGTTGAATTGTGGAACTCACTACCTCAAAATGTAGGCCCCTTCTAGACAGCCACATAATCCGGATTAACATATTAAATCAGATAATCCATATTAATTAATTTTAACTGGATTGTATGAGTCTACACTGCCATATAATCCAGTTCAAAGCAGATAATTTGAATTTTATATGGCAGTATAGAAGGAGCTTATTTATTTATTTATTTGGAGTGTTTCTACCCCGCCCTTCTCAACCCCCTAGGGGGGACTCAGGGCGGCTTACAAAAGACACAATTCGATGCCTGACAATTCATAAAATACAATATACAAATTACAATATATCGTCAACAATTATAACTAATTAAAACAATCAAACAATACAGTCGCAGCAATAAAAACATATTGTGGCCAATGTTCGTCGATTCATAAATCCATGATCCGTCTAGCATCGTCATTGTCCTTTCCTACTCTGGTCGTCATTGTCTTTTGTCCACTGCCAGCTTACCCGAAGGCCTGGTCCCACATCCAAGTTTTTAACTTCCTTCTGAAGGAGAGGAGGAATGTTGATGACCTAATCTCCCCGGGGAGTGCATTCCACAGGCGAGGGGCCACCACCGAGAAGGTCCTGTCCCTCGTCCCCACCAGTCTCACTTGTGATAAAGGTGGGGCCGAGAGCAGGGCCTCCCCAGACGATCTTAAATTCCGAGGTGGGACGTAGAAGGAGATACGTTCGGCTTAGAAATGTCTTCCAATTCAACAGCTTTAAGGGAGACTTGATACATTTCGAACAGAACAGAGACATCAAGGCTACTAGTCAAAATGAGAATAGACATCTCCATTAAGGAAAGTAACACAGCATTTGCCAAAGATGAAGCTGTACTCCTGTCTTACTGGTGGGTTTCCAGTTGGCAACTAGATAGACTTCTCATCCAATGTGCCTCTTTTTATGGGCAATTGGGCATCTAATAGTGCTACCTTCAAGTCTGGCATATCAACAGGTTAGTTAACACTTTCTATAACTTGGAGAATTCTAACAATACTCTTTGATAATTTCTATTTCCTGGTTACTGTACAGATTTTACGTCTTAATTTTTCAAACTAGATGAGGAAAAATGGGGGCGGGGGGGGGGGGGGAACAAACTATCAAACAAATGCAAAAAATAAACCAAGCACTAACAGACAACAAATGTATCTAATAAACATTGGCCAACACACATTTTGGAGCCTCAAATGTTCAATCTATTTCTAGGTATACTTCAGAAACCATTTTGGACCTGCCGAGTCCAAAAATGGCATTAGTTTTCCTCTATCAGATCTACATTTTGAGATACAGAACATATGCAATAAATGACTATTCACTCAGCTGGTCTGGGAAAAAAATCAGGAGAATCATATAATGCAGTCTATACCTAATGCAATTTTCTAAATGATAGCCCCAAATAACTGCAGGAACAGGCCTTAAAATCAAGTCACCAAGATTTTTTTAGTTGGGCTGTGACTTGATTGTTGGTATTACATTAGAGTCTCGCTTATCCAACCTTCGCTCATGCAACGTTCTGTATTATCCAATGCAGTCTGCTTCCCGCCTGAATCCACAGCTGTGTTGCTTCCATTAGTTTCAATACATTACAATGTTTTGGTGCTAATTTCATAAATACAGTAATTACTACATAACGTTATCATGTACTGAACTGCTTTTTCTGTCAATCTGTTGTCAAACATGATGTTTTGGTGCTTAATTTGTAAAATTATAACGTAATTTGACGATTAATAAGCTTTTTCTTAATCTCTCTTATTATCCAACATTTTTGCTTATCCAACGTTATGCTGGCCTGTTTATGTTGGATAAGTGAGACTCAACTGTATTAGTAGTTAAATTGAATTTGACTGAAGCTGTTCTATCATGGTTCTATAATTTGTTCCATCCACACAGTTAAGAAACAACATAAAAAATAATACATAATACATATGCTCGTTTAGAACAAAGGGAGAAAATGTACTTCTATACTTACAGTTATGTGAACACTGGGGAATGATCATTGCAATGTTGAAATAGTCAAAGCATATCCCACAACGCAACAAGTCATCCACTTTCTGAAACAAGATATTATAAACGTTTAATGATGTAAATACAAGTCCAAATGAAACATTCAGATAATTTAAAACAGATCATTTTCAGAAAGAATTTGTTGATAACAGCCGCGGTGCTTATAACAGAACATAATTACAGTATGGCACTTCTGCAATGATGTCATTGTAGTATAAGCTAGTCTTCTCTTCCCTAACCACCAATAAATGTGTTTGTCATACTGGCAGGTGATGACAAAAGCTGAAATCCAACACATCTGGAAGGTATTAGCACAGATATGTGCATAAAACATACATGTCTTCAGAGACAATTCTACTCTTGATTTAGTGTTAGTCACAACTGGAGTCAACCCACCAAATCAGTCAACACTTACTTAAATCCCATTGCTTCAGTAGGTTGGGATTAACAATTGGATGTAAACCCATTTTCAGAATGTTCTCCCATTAAAGCTTTACTCCAGCAAATATTACTGTTATTTATTAATATGGATATGAAAATCTGGAGAATGTTAGAATAAACCAAGAATTTTTATAACATCTCTTTGTCCAAGACCTGGTGATGCAATCAGTGGAACGGATCTAAGAACTGACCATGCTCAATAGCTTTAATATAGTTGAGCCTAACAAATAAGTGTATTTATTTTGTACTAGCTATACCCGCCACACATTGCTGTGGCCAACCTTCCCTCCCTCTTTCTCTTCTTTCTCTCCTTCCTTCCCTCCCTCTTTCCTTCCTTCCTTCCCTTTTTTCTCTTTCTCTCCTTTCGTTCTATCCCCCCACCTTTTCTTTCCCTTCCTCTTTCTGCCCTTTCTTCCTTCTCTACCTATTCTTGGACTGCAACTCCCAGCGGTTTTCCTGATCCATCTATCTATCTACTTATCTATCTAATCTATCTGGAGGATTGCTGGGAGTTGCAGTCCAGGAATAGAAAATAGGAAATATGCAGGGATGCTCCCAAAGAAATCCAAGAAGAAAGCTTGCAGCTTGGAAACGGTGCATTTGGATCATTCTCCTCTCCTAAAAGGCCTGGTCTAGGAGATGCTGGGAGCCGTAATATAGAAGAGAGTGTGGATATGTTATTGTGTGTTTTGTTTGCCGGGGGGGGGGTCATTTTTGCACATGCGCTGTAGCATATTTTTTTTTTGCTTTTTTGGCTTTTTAAGCCCCTTTCATTGTGTTTTTTAGTGTTTTTGTGACTGATTGTCACTTGTTGGCCTGATATGTGTATTGTGTCCAAATCTGGTGTCAATTCGTCCAGTGATTTTTGAGTTATGTTAATCCCACAAACCAACATTACATTTTTATTTATAGTTTAAAACACGTCTATTCTGCCTTTTACCCTGGGCTTTAAGAGTGGCACACAAGACAGACCATTTAAAACAATTCCAGTTTAGAACCATAAATATTTTAAGCAAATTGAACAAAGCAACAGTTAAACCCACTTTAAAAGCTACAACCACTGAAAACCATGTTTATATAGACTTCTGTTGTGGATTGTTTCCTCCCCAAGTATTATGAAGTTTTTAAGCTGCTTACGCTTTTGTGTGTTTTGCTGCTTGCCATTTGTTTTTATTATGATGTTGTTCTACTTATTACATTGTATCTGTGGCTTGTTTTAGCCTTTTCTCACCTTCTGCCGCTAGGTCTTAACTGATGAAGTAGTTTGACTGAAAAAGTATAATTCATTTACAAAGCACTCAGGCTGCTATGAACTATAGACAAGTAAAAGGCAGGCTCTGTGCACCATCTAACAACATTTCATCTCTGCTTTTTGCTGTCCCTGGTTTTGCTTACACACAGCAATGCTTTACAGCCACCAACATTTTAAAGCCTTCTGAAAAACCTATATAAGATTCATTGATCTTTTTTCCCGTTATGCTACTCTTTTAATAATTGAAAGCTCCTCTGGTTTATGATACAGCAATTGCTTTTTCCCGCATTTGCCGTGCTCCATGAACCAGTAACCTAAGAAAATCCCCAGGGAGGTGTATACATTGATTCACTATCTGAATCTCTTTTGAAAGAGCTTCAAAGTAGTTTTATACAAGTTCAGGATGAAAAATAAAAACTCTGATCAGACAAGGCTGTTACAGAAAAAAGCTGTTGCATGTTGACTTTTGGCCCTAGAAGTTTACAGGATCTTTAACTAACTGAACAGCTGTAGATGCCAATCTCTATAATAATGATGGGATGCTCTCTGAATTCCAAAGGAATTTCTATCTATAGCCTAATAATCAATCATGAGTTCAAATAAAGCTTTCTGTCAGCATTGTTTGGAGGTTCTAGCAGAGGAGAGTAGCTATCATATACTCAGGACCAAAGACTGGAGACCTTGGTACACTCCTTCTATACCTGGAACGTTGTCCTCTTCCACCAAGCAGCTTTGGGAAGGACGCACATGGAGCAATGAGGGAGAAAAGGGACACCCACCTAGCCAGCCAGATCAGCCTGGCAATCAATGAGGTGATAGATGTCACAGCCAGATCACCCTCACATCCTAAACAGCATTATACAGAATGGGCCTATTCAGTTTTACTAGCAAGTAGGAGGTTTGAACCAAACCCTTGTAAGTGATACCGGTCTATACACAAACTGTAATAGTGAAATGTATGGGGGACACAACATATTTCATGAAAACCTTTCATGTATACATTTTAAAAACATATGATTTATTGCTTGTTTCACATGAAGTTTCTCGTTACATTCATGTGACACACCTACACGCAAACTAGAGGTGAGACAGTTTGGAAAGCTCTGATATACAGTATAGCAGGGATCCTCAAACTAAGGCCCGGGGTCAGGATATGGCCCTCCAAGGTCATTTACCCAGCCCTCGCTCAGGGTCAACCTAAGTCTGAAATGACTTGAAAGCACACAATAACAACAACAACAACAACAAACAACCCTATCTCATCAGCCGAAAGCAGGCCCACACTTCCCATTGAAATACAAATAAGTTTATAATTGTTAAAATTGTTCTTCATTTTAATTATTGTATTATTTTAAGTGATTTTTGCACTACAAATAAGATATGTGCAATGTGCATAGGAATTCATGAGTTTTTTTTTCAAATTATAAAAATTTGGCCCTCCAACAGTTTGAGGGACTGTGACCTGGCCCTCAGTTTAAAAAGTTTGTGGACCCCTGCAATATAGTATATATAGGAAATTTAAATATTATGTAAAATTACACTTTATATAAAAAACTTTTCATTTTTTTAAAAAAGATATTAAAACATCAGGCACCTTTGTGACTTTTGTCCCATCCTGTATATCATTTTGTTGATAATTCTACCCATCAAAAAATCATCAACAGAGGAAAGTTCATGCTTTCAGGCCCTTCGGCTGACAACACTGACAACCAAAGTTCTGTTTGGCACCACATTCACCTAGTCCACACTGACTCTGTAATAACCCTGTCAACACCCCACACCAGACATCCTTATCACCCTTATAGTGATAAGTATCCACATTTTATTCTTTTCTTCACCACTTCCTTGTGAAAATAATCACCTTCCACCAGCCAATTCTACCCACCACACAGTGAAGTGATGGGCAGGGCATCAGCTTCGTGGGAGGCATCAGGAAAGCTTATGGGGCCAACACTACTGCAAACTGAATGGACCAGAGGATCTTGTTTCATTTGCTGCCTTTCAATTGGTGCATTATTTACATTTTTAGCATATTTCATCTCAGATGGCAATCGTTTTCACGTTCCTGAGCAAGCATGAAAGTGCCTTTCAATGGTGAGATTCAAAGCTAGAATATCGGGAAGGCAGTAAGGATGGATCTATGCTGCCAAATAACACAGTTTGAACCTGCATTATATAGTCCCTTGAAGTGACTGGCTTGACCTTGAAGGAGCTGGGGGTGGCCATGGCCGACAGGGAGCTCTGGCATGGGCTGGTCCATGAGGTCACAAAGAGTTGAAAGCGACTGAACGAATGAACAACAGCAGTTCAGTGCAGTTAAACTACATTATATGGCTCTACACGGACCATATAATGCAGATTCAAACTGCATTATATAGCAGTGTAGATCCAGCACCATCCAGTCATTACTTTATTCATTTATTTATCTATTTGTATGTATGTATGAGTCTCCTTGTGGAGAGAAAAAAATGGAGTATAAATAAACATCATAAATAATAATAACATGTATCTATATATCTGTATCTACAATAAAAGGGAAAAGATGCTTGGATGAGTGGCTCTATCTATCTATGATTATGAGCAATTTCAAAGATGGCTCCCACTTCCAGAGAGAATTGTAGCCCCCACCAATGATGGATCTGAACCAAACCAGACTCAAAGACCCTCCCAATAACCAACTTTAAATACTTATGGTGTTTGGGAGGAATTGATCTCTGATGTTGAGAGTTGTAGTTCACCAACAATCAACAGCACTCTGAACCCAACTGAAGATGGATCATGGCCAACTCTGAATACTAGCAGGGTTTGGGGGAATTGACCCATGAAGTTGGGAGTTACAGTTCACCCAAATCCAGAGAGCACTCTGAAACCAACCGATGATGGATCTCAATCAAACACGGCACCAACTTGGAATACTGGCAAAGTTTGGAGGGGAATTGACCCTGGAAGCCAAGAGCTATAGCTCACCAACATCCAGAGAACACTATGAACCCAACAGACTATGGATTTGGACCAAACTTGGCACGTAAACCCAACATGGCCAGCTTTGAATATTGGCAGAGTTTGGCGGGAATTTACCTTGAACTTTGGGAGTTACAGGTATAGAAACTCACATCCTTATGCAGTTTCTAATCAGAGCATTCATTTAAAAAGCAAACAATGGCTATTTCTTATAAATAGCATTAAAAAGACCTAACCCGGACATCACTAGTATATTTATATAGTATATTTATATATGTATCTCCCAGGCCAAGCCCCAAAGTGCTTTACAAATACGTATGTAATACATCTCTATAAATAAAAATGTAATGTTCGTTTGTGGGATTAACATAACTAAAAAATCACTGGACGAACTAATACAAAATTCGGACACAATACACGTATCAGGCCAACAAGTGATCGTCACTCATAAAAACACTGAACAACACAGCAAGAGACTTAAAAAACCAAAAAATAAAAAATACATTACAATGCATGTGCAAAACCACATATATAAACACACACACACATAAATACGCATAGACACAAATATATACACACACAAAGCACATATACACAGACTGGGCCAGAGCAACGCGTGGCACGGGATGGCTAGTATTTATATAAATGAGAACCAGCCTGGTGTCGTGGTTTGAGTGTTGGACTATGACTCTGGAGACCAGGGTTCAAATCTCCTCTCTGTCTGGGTGAACCAAAGTCAAGTCACACACCCTTTGCGTCAGAAAACCCTGTGGTAAGTTCGCCTTAGAGTTTCCATAAGCAGTGCTTCTCAAACTTACCCAAAGCAACCCTGTGAGTTTCCATTGCTAGTTCCCAGAGTTGTAATGCAATGCTCACAGATCTATACTATGTCTGGGCAAACTTGGGCCCTCCAGGTGTTTTGGACTTCAATTCCTAACAGTCATTTGTGGGGATCGTAGTGGTTTGTTGAAGCCGAATAGGGTGAAGGTACTGCAAATCCCATCATACGTGGACCGTCCTCCCTCATACTTCCCCAGGGCATGATGTGGGTCATGGGCCTTCTGTGTGCCAAGTTTGGTCCAGGTCTGTCATTTGTGAGGGTCGCAGTGGCCCATAGAAGTGAGTGAAGGTACTGCAAGTCCCATCATCCGTGGTTCAAACCGCACCAAGATGTGCAGTGGGTCATGGGGGCTCTGTGTGCCAAGTATGGTCCTGATCCGACATTGGTAGCGTTCATAGTGGTCTGTTGGGAATTGAGGGAGTCAAAGTCCAAAACACCTGGAGGAACCAAGTTTGCCCAGGCATGACCTGACCCCAAACATGAGCAATGACTACAGCGGAGAGAGGAAAGCATTCTGCACATGTTCTAAAGCCTTCTTTTGCACTGAAACACAGTAGGAGCTGTTCAGCTGTGAGATATGGCGCTCAGAATGAGGTGGAGATTCTTAAGCAGAGGCTGGATGGCCATCTGCCGGGGGTGCTTAAGGATTCAAAGCAGCGTACAGCATGTACAATCAAGACAAATGCAAACAAAAATATCAAGCATTCTCTCCTGACATTTTGCCCACATCTATGGCAGGCATCTTCAGAGGTTGTGGGGTCTGTTGGAAACTAGGAAAGTGAAGTTTAGTGTCTAGGATGGGAAAAATAACTCTTGTCTGTTTGAGGCAAGTGTGAATGTTGAAATTGGCCACCTTGATGAGCATTTAATGGCCTTGCAGCTTCAAAGCCTGGCTGATTGCTGCCTGGGGGAATCCTTTGTTGGGAGGTGTTAGCTGGATCCCTTCCCCAGGCAGTAACCAGCCAGGCTTTGAAGCTGCAAGGCCATTATATGGTTATCAAGGTGGCCAATTTCAACATTCATACTTGCCTCAAACAGACAAGAGTTATGTTTCCCACCCTAGACACTCTACAGATATATAAACCTCACTTGCCTAGTTTGCAACAGACCCAGTAACCTCTGAGGGTGCCTGCCATAGATGTGGGTGAAACGTCAGGAGAGAATGCTTCTGGAACCTGGGGTCTCTTCCCTCTCTGGGACTCTTATGTAGTGCTGCGATCAGCTCTGTCCATTGTACAAGGGGCACCCCCAGTCCCGCAGCCACCTCCCTCCGTGCTCCCACTTACTTACTTTCAGTGGGCCAAGGCTCTGGGGCCAGGCCGACCCTGCTGGGAAGGAAGACATGGCCCAACCGCCCTCTCCCCGCCCACCGGGCTCCAAATCGCCCGCGCTCAGAGGCTTCCCCGCGGGAGGGAGGACACGTGGCTCCAGGCAGACGCCACTTCCCGCCCCGCCGCAGAGTCTGCTGGGTAATGTAGTTCCTTGGAATCAAAGCGAGAGTGGAAGGAGGGACTCACAGTTCTGACAATCTTCAATATTCCCCCTGAGTTGAGTGCACCTGCTCTATGGAATGAATGCATTTTGACGCCACTTTAACTGCCTTGGCTCAATGCTCTGGAATCCTGGGAGGTATAGTTTTGCAAGGACTTGAACTTTCCCTGGCAAAGGGTGCTGGTGCCCAATTACAACTCTCTTGATTCAATAGCATTGAGCAGGGCAGTTATAGAGTCATAGAGTCAAAGAGTTGGAAGAGACCTCCTGGGCCATCCATTCCAACCCCATTCTGCCAAGAAGCAGGAATGTTGCATTCAAATCACCCCTGACAGATGGCCATCCAGCCTCTGTTCAAAAGCTTCCAAAGAAGGAGCCTCCACCACACTCCGGGGCAGAGAGTTCCACTGCTGAACGGCTCTCACAGTCAGGAAGTTCTTCCTCATGTTCAGATGGAATCTCCTCTCTTGTAGTTTGAAGCCATTGTTCCATGTCTTAGTCTCCAGGGAAGCAGAAAATAAGCTTGCTCCCTTCTCCCTATGACTTCCTCTCACATATTTATACATGGCTATCATATCTCCTCTCAGCCTTCTCTTCTTCAGGCTAAACATGCCCAGCTCCTTAAGCCGCTCCTCATAGGGCTTGTTCTCCAGACCCTTGATCATTTTAGTCGCCCTCCTCTGGACACATTCCAGCTTGTCAATACCTCTCTTGAATTGTGGTGCCCAGAATTGGACACAATATTCCAGGTGTGGTCTAACCAAAGCAGAATAGAGGGGTAGCATGACTTCCCTAGATCTAGACACTATGCTCCTATTGATGCAGGCCAAAATCCCATTGATTTTTTTGCCGCCACATCACATTCCTGGCTCATGTTTAACTTGTTTCCACGAGGACTCCAAGATCTTTTTCACACGTACTGCTCTCGAGCCAGGCGTCCCCCATTTTGTATCTTTGCATTTCGTTTTTCCTGCCAAAGTGGAGTATCTTGCATTTAAGTGGTGTCAAACTGCATTGATTCTATAGTATAGGTACCTCCCTAAATTTCAGATCCTGAAAGACTTATCTGTTTATTTGTATGAATATATAACAACAACAACAAAACTTTATTTATATACCTTTCTGTCTCCCCGAGGGGACTCAGAGCGGTTTCCAAGTAACATCATCAAAACATACAAAGTAAACAACATAAACATAAAATTAACAAGACAATATTCTATCTATATAAATAAAAAATGTAATGTTCGTTTGTGGGATTAAAAGAACTGAAAAACCACTGGATGACCTGACACCAAATTTGGACACAAGATACCTAACAACCCAATGCATGTCCTTCACTCAAAAAAAATGATTTTGTCATTTGGGAGTTGTAGTTGCTGGGATTTATAGTTCATCTACAATCAAAGAGCATTCTGAACCCCACCAACGACGGAATTGAACCAAACTTGGTGCACAGTTCTCCCATGACCAACAGAAAATACTGGAAGGGTTTGCTGGGCAGTGCCCTTTGGTTTTGGAGTTGTAGTTCACCTACATCCAGAGATCACTGTGAACTCAAACAATGATGGATCTGGACCAAACTCTACACAAATACTCAATATGCCCAAATGTGAACACTGGTGGAGTTTGGGGAAAATAGAATCTTGATATTTGGGAGTTGTAGTTCCCGGGATTTATAATTCACTAACAATCAAAGAGCAATCCTAACAGCTGGTAAACTGGCTGGGATTTCTCGGAATTATAGGCCAAAACACCTGGGGACCCACAGGTTGAGAACCACTGTCCTAGACAAAGGGGTCCATCAGGATTTCATTTAATCATCACAATATCAACTGATCCAGAGATGTATATGTGTGCAGCGACTAACTATCCAAAAGAGAAACATTATAGCAGCCTCTTCTATTAAATGTATGAGGGTTGAATGAAAAGTAATGCCTCCACCTTCATTACTTGGGTTTGGATGGGAATATTTTAATCCTTAGAATGTGCTCTTTAACTACCACTATTAACTTTTCCACATAATCACCAGACAATTGGATACATTTCTGCCAACAATAAACAAGTCACAGAAGAAGTCAACGCTCTGTTTCCGCAACCAGCATCTCACAGTTCTCTCAATGTCTTCATCAGAAGCATGTCATGCTGCACCATGGGCATGACAAAGCACCCAGGTATTATGGACATACACACCCAGCAGATAAGCTTCCTGTGCACAGTCTGGGAACTAGCCGTGGATGTAAACCAGCCATGTCCTTGGATATTTCTTTATTTGGCCAGCTTGTGAACAGAATTGAGAGATCATCACCCATTGTCCCTGGTATCCTACACTTTGCATTTATATAATCCTGTTGCCTTCATGCCCGTACATCCATTGTCTTTGGAACAACCACCTAAGTCCTCTAAATATGAACCTTGCTTCCTGGACACGTCCCTCAGCCCAGGGAAGAAACTTTCCCTCTCCTTCAAAGATGGAGGGGGCATCCTTTAAGGGGGCATCCATTTTGTGCCTAGCATGGCAGGCAGCCATCTTGGTGTCCTGTTATGGCAGCCATTTTGGCCGCATGGCTGAGGTTTGTTCTTTAAGGGGATATCCATTTTGTGCCTAGCATGGCAGGCAGCCATTTTAGGGTCCAGTATATATGTGTAATTTAATACTAATATATATATATATATATATATATATATATATATATATATGGTTAGTTATGTATAGATAGGTGATAAAAATTATACACTATATGTATAAAGATATATATATATATATATATAATATATATATTAGGGCTGGGCGGTTTCGTTTCGTTAATTCGTAATTCGTTAATAATTCGTTAATTTTTTCAATTACAAAACGATAACGAACCATTCTGGAGCAATTATTTTAAAAAACGAATTTTCAAAAAACGTTTTGTAAATGCTTCGTATTTCGATATTGTATTCGTTTCGTTATTGTTTTGAGGTCGTTTCGTTATTATTTCCGCATGTCTGGGCCAGTTTTATGGTTTAATTAGTGAAAAAAAAATATAATATCACACCAACAGTCAACAACAGAGGGAGAGGGAAGCTTCAGAAGGTTTTGGAGGTTTTTTAGCGTATTTCGCGGTCGCGTCCGCCATTAACGAAGCGATTCGTTATTGTTTCGGAAATCGATTCGTTAATTTTTTACCATTTACGAAATTTCGTAAATATCGAACTTTTTAAAAGGAAAATTTTGTAATTATTTTAAATATCGAAACAAAAAAACTCCCCAAATACAAATCGATTTTAGAAACAAATTTTTCCGTTGTTACCCAGGCCTAATATATATATATATATATATATATATATATATATATATATATATATATATAGACGGGACGTGATATGGCAAAGGGTAATGTCAATTATGCTAAGGTTTAGCAAGATATTACTATCAATATTAATAATAATAACGCAGGACAATGCGGGTACATTGATAGGTGCTACTTATGGGAATGGTAAAACATGCAGTTATGAGTAGATCAATATGTATGGTGGTTTATATACATACATAGTAGATAAATGTGTAGCGAAATGACAGGCTGATGTGAGTAGATCAATAGATACTGTGTTACATTCATGGGATGAAATGACAGGCAGATGTGGTTAGATCAATAATAGTGCTGTAGTGACAGGCCAATGTGAAGGGAGCAATAATTGCTGGTGCGGTGTGGTTGACCATTTACACCTTTCAATATTGTCTGGGTTCTTGCTTATTTCGATTACAAGGAGACTAATTGTGGTGGAGATATATATATATATATAAGCAGGTTGATTAAGCGGGCTTATTCCAGAGTCAGTAAAGTAATTTATCACTAAAACACTGATGTTGTCTGACATTTGCATTACTGAGCAGCAATTACGGATCCTCTTCGGGTCATCTAAAACAGATCTGGGAGCACGGGGCTAAGTATTTTCCTTGGTACCGCTTGTGATGGTGATATTTGCCACTTTTAGGGTCATTATTATTCAGTTTATTGCAGTCCTAGGCAGCTCGCTAGGAAGCCTGTTTATTCATCGGGGCAGTTGCCCACTGACAATATTATCAAGTTTGGCCAAAACTCTAAAAATCCTTAAATTGTTGGGGCTGGGACACCTTTATTGTGCAACTTTTTCCTTTCATATGCCAGCTGCCTTCACGGCTGCCTACATGAGTTTGGATCAGGACAGAATCAAAAGCCCAGGGAGATGGAGGTCGGGTGCCTACAAGGGGTACGTCCGCCCTGTTGCCTTATTATAACAGTGTTTTGTCTTTTCAGATGGAGGTTTGCTGGTCCATAGAAGAAGGGTGTTGATTTGTGGCCACAGCTTTATCTATTGGACCGAGTGGCAGCATCGGGGCATGGCTGCCTTTGCTTTTGTTGAATGGAGTAGCAAAAGAGGCCTCAGGTGGGATGGTTTGATCCTTTTGTTGTCCGGGCTGGAGGCGGTCCTGCACCTGATGTGTTGTTAACTCACCTTGGGGGCAATGATCTTGGCCTTCTCAAGGGCAGAGCTTTGTATTTACAGGCACGGAATGATTTCTTGAAAATCTGGGAGGCGTGGCCTCACACGTGTATCCTCTGGTCTGCAATCACTCCACGTCTGTGTTGGCCTGGTGGAGGGGATGTTCGCAAGCTGGAAAAGGCCCGCAAGCGGGTTAATAGAGCGATGCGTGTTCAATTGAGCAGAGGTAACAGTTTTTATGTGCACCAACCGGGCATCACACTTAACGACAAACACTTGTTCCGGGTTGATGGTACCCATCTCTCGGACAGGGGGAATGATTTGTTTTTGGCCAATCTGCAGGCTGGTCTGAAAGTGGTTTTGGAGAACTTGGTGGGGGATGGGGACAAAATGGACATCTGTCCCCAATCTGTGGCAGAAAACAGATAGAGAAGGTTAATATTTGATATCCAGACCCTTCAGGGG